CCCCCCCCCCCCCCCCCCCCCTCGCAGGCTCTCAGTGCGCCGGGCTCTTCAGCACCACTGTCCTAGGGGGGTCCTCTAGCGCCCCCAACCTGCAGGACTACGAACGCGCACATCGCAAAAAATTCTCCAGCGGCAGTCTGTCCTACAAAGACGGTACGTGTTTGAGACCGCGCTCCTATCACAAGAAACCTGCACAGGGCAACAGCAGATCAGTGCCGCACACTCTTAGTCCTTCTGCACCCAAAATAGTGTACGTTTGACTTCCTGAGCGATGCCCTAACCTCTCTCTCTATATCTATATCTATATATCTATATAGATATATCTATATATAGGTTTAGTCTGAACAAGTGGTAGTTGTAGTAGCTAGAGTTTGTGCAAACACAGCAGCAGTAGAACTTATTTGGACTGGAAGAATGTGTGCTCGATGACAAAAAGGAATAAACATCATGTATATACATACACATATATATACTTATTATATATACTTATTACATATACATGTATTTAATAGTTCTAGTAACGTCTGTTTTCTTAGACTCCATAATCATTCTTGCCACCAAACCCATGCGATTTCTTTCCATCTTTTATTTATTTTTCCTTTTCTTTTATCGCTGCACCACTTTGAGTCAAATTGGTGTATTTGTTTCTTGTTTTCCAGCAGCTTGTATACATGCTGCCTCTGGCCCACTTTAGACGTCATGTGTAATATGTGGGAAGGCCACAGCAGGAAATGTGGCCACGAGAATAGCACATGTAACAACGGCGTCATCGAGTCGGTGTCGTACAGTCGTGTAATCAGTGCCCTTGGTTTGTGGCGGAGCTACTTAGACTTTGGTTGTTTTTGTCAACTGCAGCGTCAATGTAACTCGTCATTATTAGACCAGAGTTGTTTTAGTCTGATATTTTTATTTAGATTTTTACTTTAAAAGCTCCTGCTTGTGTGAAGCAGCTGCTCGTTTGTATGTGTCCATTAACTTCCCCTCATTCTCAAAGATCCTCATCATCTTCCTCCTCCGATGTTGTTGTTTTTCTGCATGGTCCACGGCTGCGCTGACTTCCTGTTACAGTCTGTTCAGTGGTTGGAGAGGAAATATACAACCACTCAAAGTCAAACAACTGGAGAAGTTCTGACATGACTGACTACATGTTTACATGCACACTGGTATTCCACTAATATTCCCAATACGTCAAATATTTGATGTGGCTCATGTAAACATCGAGTTTATTCCGAATGCAAATATCTCAACGCCGACCTTTCTGAGGAATGAAAGGAGGGCGGCTGAGATCACACGGTCCGACAAGTCCGACAATCGAGGGAAACTTAAAACACATTTAGAAGCAAAGAAGCCAAATGGCACAAGCGGCTCCGGCCGTTTCACTTCTCCGTAGTTTGACGTGATCAACGACGTGGACGTGGGACTCACTGGTGATGAGGATGAGGCACCGGGTCAGTTTACGTTAAATCAGAAAATGTGCAAGGCTGCATGTAACCGGGAATATTAGTGGAATATTCATCTTCATTAGGAATGTAAACGGCTTATTAGGAATGTTGTCTTTTTCGGGAATAAGGGTAACAGCCCGAGTATTTGATGCATGTAAACGTAGTCATCAGAAACATTGGTGGTGCCTCAGGGAGAAACCTGACGATCTGACTAATATAGATATCTAATATAGATATAGTAATACATCTTTGACTCGGTAGCAGAAGTCGGTTTCATTTCACATTTCATTTCTTGTTGTGAATGTCTGGGCCCTGTGCTGATGGAGTTATACATCTAGTGCTTGTAACTGTGTGCAAATGTCAAATTCAATGTGAAATTCAAGGAGCTGAGTGATGCATCATGGGCCGCCGTGGCTCGGCCCTGAGTGCGTTGCTGATGTTTGTGGTCGAGTCGTCCAGTAGATGTCACTGTGGTATCACACACAGACACCCCCCCCCCCCCGATCCTCTCTCATCGTCTGGTCTTTGTCATCCATCTTGTTCCTTTTTCAACAATCAAAGGAAGCGTTAGTCTTGATGCAGTCGAGTGCGCACGAATTGTGCTGATTCAGTGCATGCTCCTCCCTCCCTGTCATCTGTTATTATTATTTTTATCTGTCTCCACGCTGAAGCATCTTTATCCTGGTCAGGATCACCGGCTGATATATTTTATTCTATTGTTGTTTACGCGGTTGAACGGCATTTAAGCGGGATTGTGGATCATCTTGTTAGACCTGAAGCAGCTTTACAGTCACTGGTTTTTCTAGCTGTTGGTGTGACCTCTCATCACCTCCTAAGTTACAACATTTCATCTCACTCCGTCACCACAGAGATGTTCCTCCCAAGTAACATGAAGTCAGGTGTTCCTCACTAACAGACTCTTCTGTTCTGCTGGTTGATCCACGTTAGAGAAGAATAGGGACATGATTTAAAACATGATTTATTCAAGTTGCTGTGGCCTCGAGTAACACTCGTGTTTTTTTTATTTTTATTTTTTATTTCCTCAGAGTTGTTGTCTATGCCGGCAGTAAAACGATTTTCTGTGTCGTTTGCAAAGTATCCGACTAATGGTACGTCTGCTTCTTTCAAGTACTTTTCCACTCCACCTCCCTTTTGTCTTGCATGTCTTCAAACTTGTTTCTTGACCTTTGGGTTATTTTTTCATTTTTTTCTCCACATGGCCCTCCAGCATTCCAGGTTTCCTTTATACTTTTTTCCAATGATTTTGTTCATATGCTTTTGGACTGTTCCTTTTCTAACACTCCCTGACATTCTCTCTCTCACCAGGGTTCCCACTGGTCATTTTACCCAGTGAACGATTAAGACATTAGGAGACGGGGAATGTCAGCAAATGTTTGCAAAGGCCTTGTAGAAGTGTAGCCGTAAATAAAGACATCTTCACACTACTTATACCTGTGAATACATAAATACACGTATTCTCTTCAGAAGCCTTTATACACCGGGAGCGCATTTTTCTTGCGATTATTTTGCATTTTAATATGTTTTTTCAAACTCTATTTCTCCTTCCAGACCAGACCCGCTCTCTCTGTTCTTACATTTCACAATAAAAGCTCAAGTCAGACAACAGGATCCTGGTAGTTGTTTCTCTGGCTGCGCAAATCCATTCAAACCTTTTATTGAGAAAGTCTGTTCGAAATTTACCAGCATAAATAGTTTTGATGCGAAATATTCGCAGGCGAGTTTTTTTTTGCATTTTTCGGGTGGTTAATGTGTGAAGGCCGATGATGAACAAAAGAGCGTTCTAATCAACTGAATCATCCTAAACTACCTTTAGTTGGTTAAAGGAAACTTCTTCTTGCATCTTGTTCCAGTTAACCCACAGTCAGCGTTTCACACTCACTGCAAAGCCTACTTCTCCTGGAGCCACTTAGAAGTTTCATGTAGTTTTCGGTTTAGATCACAGACTCAGAAAACAGACGAGTGTAAATCTGAGTCCGACTTCATTTCACTTTGTCTCCCACTGCTGTTTACAGGAAACCACTTCCTCAACACACGCTAAATCACTTACTCAAGATTTGGGACACTTACTAATCATCCTCATTTTGCATCATTGCTGCCAGCTGTAGAGTTGCACAACAAGTCATTTGATGGCGGACATAAATATAATATACATATAGTAGAGAGGCAGGACACGGTCTGGAATGAGTCCCTGATCTGGTCCGGCTGGAGGACAGTTGGCTCAGTAATGGACTCGTTTATTCCGGCTTTGTGTATTTTTGCAGAGTGATTTCTGGCACAACCGTGCCTCCTTCCAAGGTGCACACTTTTCGAATAACTTTATTATTATACCAGCATGCTTTGGTTTGTTGTTTCTGTTTCAAGTCATAACTGATGTCAGCAAACTGTTTTGTCACGGGGCCAGTCGAAAGAATTTCTGAAGGTCAGCGTTTACTGTCACAATTCCATAAAGTTTGGTGACGTGCAAGAGACAAAGGAGGTTGAAGCAGCAGAAGCCGAGCTATCCTGACGTTTAGTCCCAAGTGTTGGTCGAGGTCCTAAACCGGTGGATCAGACTCTTCCTTTCAGGCTTTCTGTCAAAAGTGAGTCTGAAGGCAGAGATGATCCTCCGGAGCCACAGAAGACAAACTGCACAGTAGCTCTCTCTGCACGGCGGCGTGTTAGAGCTGTTCTAAGTCAAGCAAAAAGAAGATCTTTACGGTGCCGCGAGGGGGATGAAAGTGGTAAATCTACAAGAATAAAACTCTCAAATTTAGGAGGAAAAGATTCATGAATTTGCGAAAAAACAAGTTCTCTGAGATTAAACTCACAAGAAGAACGTGAGCTGCCGAGTGCAAACCTGACTTTTGCCTAAAGTAGTGTTCCTGTGGTAAGGTTGGCCTCTGAAAGATCCATATACACGTTTTTGTTCGTGTTCTTTCGTGAACATTAATAAATACTAGTATGATTAATATATTTTGCACTCTGCGGCTCACGTCCCCTCGGTGTTTGACGGGGGCGTCTGAGGTGCGATGAGGTCGATGTAACCTCACACAGTGGAGCGATGTTCTTCTTCTACTTTAACCTCAGAGAATATTAGTGTTCTCTCAGAATCGTACCCTCCCTCCAGCTCTGTAATTGTGTTCTTTGTACCTAATATGCCATCCTGTGATCTACAAGAAGTCAGTCACACATACATAACGTGTGAAGCCTGCCGGCCTGTTGTTGGACCTTTTTTAAAGCAGCCAGTCATCATTTATTTTCCTTTTATTAACTTATAAACGCTTCATTCTCTATCTTCATGTTTTACAAAGCAGAGAGCCTTATGATGGAGATGTGTCCTGAGTCAAGGGTGGAACCCTGCTTAACATCCTACATACAGTTTGTAAACTGATCATTATCCAATAAGTCATTTATTTATTTTTAATGTGTGTGCATGAGTACACGGTATTTACATAAAGGTCACTCCATGGCTGCTGAGGATGTGAGCTCATTGTTAGACGTGAATGTTTAACTCTTCCTCTGACTCTCGTTGATTAACCAGTGGCTGATTGAAGGGTTCAATCCCAGCTGACTGAACCAGGATCAGCTCTTATTGAGCGTAAACAGAGGACGGGTTGAAGCATTGCTCTTGTGTTCTGAAAGAGACATCGGGTCAGTTTTGTTTTGATTCTTAAGCACACATAAAGCTCTCAGTGGTTTCAGTGCTCACATGTGGTCGTCTGGTGTGTCCGAGGCTTGGAAGCTGAATATTTCGTTAGATAAAATCTTGTTAGTTTTTAAATGTTGACTTTTCGACCTAACAAAGCTCTGGAGTTATTGGAAATGTTTGGAAACAATCCCACGCAGTCACAACTGGAATCTGATAAAAGCCCAAATGCACTAAAAGCGTCTGAGACCTTATCAAAGAAACTTATTAAATATTAATAAAACTACTACTGTCGCTTTTATCCACAACGTCAGCTGTCACGACATAACGTAAATGGCGTTACTTGATGGATGGTTTGTGTCTCATTGGTATTAATTTAAAAAGATGAGGTGATGAGGTGTTGAGCGGTGTCTGTCGTATACATAAGTGTTGGATGAAGAGCTTTCTGTACCTGAAACACTGCTGGTTCTGTGGCGTTAACATGTGACGCCTGCAGAGCATCAATTATGGCTTTAAGTGCGTTTGGGGTCTTTATGCTACAAACAGCATAATACATGTAATATAATAATAATAATAATGATCTTTATGTGCACCTGTGCAGAAAGACGGCGTTCAACCCAAATGAAATTGTAATGTCCACGTGATGAAGGAAGCGTGGAACTATCCGGTACGGCCCTAAATGATGAAGTGTTATCACAATGTCTCCACTTTGCTTTTTCTATTGATTTTTGAATAATTTCTTGAGAACATTTTATCGGTGAGACAGACGGGAAGCTCCGACATTAAGATATTAACGTTGTGAACTAACGAGCTACTCTTCTCTCCGCTTTATCTGGATAAAAACAACCTGCTGGTGTAAATAGGTTTGCTCGGTCTGGATTTTGTGAATCTTCTCTTATCTCTGCTTTTGGGTTGAATAACCGTGTTTTCTGTCGTTTAACGGGTTTGTTTGGCAGAAATGTTCATCCACGAGTGGAGAGATTCTGCGAGGGTCGACTCGTCAACCAGAGCCGTGTGAACGCGACAGTCAGATTTTTTAAAACGCCACACTTCCTGTTAAGAACACACCACGCAGGGACATTGAGTGAAACACCCACACGCTGTATGTTAGTGTGCTGTTCTCTCACATATATTATTCACCACAGCAGCGGCTCCACCGGTCTGGTGCGCTGCTAAAGGTACGACGCAGTTTGTGTGTTGGCTCCAAACGTCCAGCTGCAGCTTCGTGTTAAAAACAAGATGGCGTCAAATTGTTTGTCGTTGTGGACGCGAGATTCACCTGCACGCGCAAATAAAGAGCTCCCGCAGTGTTTGTCTGGAGACGTGGCTCCGAGGCTGCCGTCACTTCTTTTGGGCTTCCTGTGAACGTCTCGTGGATTCTCATTCATTGGCTTGTTAGTTTTTTTTAAAAGTTTAAATAAATGGAGGTACTGCGGAGAAGCAACACGATGTGGTTTGTTTTCTTGCTGGATGCTTTGTTTGCCGCGCGGAGAAGTTTCTGTTGAAGTGGTTTTCTGCTTCTTCTGATGTGCTGCCGCTTGGCGGCCATGATGAGCTGCTGGCTGCCTCCTTCGCGCACACACACACGCTACACTTATCTCTTTATTTCCCCTCTCATCTTGTAATGTACTTCAGTCCTTCCCTCTCTTCCTCGCTTATCTCCTATCGTTTCATGTCTCTTGTACTGCTCCTGCTCCTCCTCCTCCTCGCTCTCCCTCTTCTTCCTCAGAGCCCCTGGAGGAGCCCAGTGTGGCCCAGTTGTTGAGGCATTTCCCCGCTGACCTCAGCCTGGACGGGGCGCTGGCCCACCACCTCCACCAGTGCTCCTACCACCTCCGCCTCTTCCGAAACTGGCTCATCTCCGGCCAAGACCCCCTAGAGTACCTCCACGGTTAGCCCCTGGCCCCCCCCTCCCCTCCCTTCCCCCCCAGCCTCACGCCCTGTTCAACCACTGCTCACGGTTCAGTTGGGCCTGTGCTCGTACTGTGGTTGACTCTCATGCTTTGCCTCTTGATGTTCCTGCATGCTTGCCTGTTTCTGTGGTTATGCAGATTGCAAGCCGGAGTGCTGTGAGCTGTTTTGGGCCATTTTTTGCGACCACTATCTTTCCCCTCTGCAGCGGTGTCTATCTTTACCCCTACGTTGTTTTTGTTTGTTTTTGAAGGATTCCTTAACCATACAAAATATCATTAATTCTTCTCGGAATTTACATGCAACAAGACAGGAAAAGAACCATAAACTGCATGCATTCAAATATCACTTTTGAAAGAGTCCAACATTCAAATTTTAGACTTTCCCTCCTTTCTGTGTTCTCCCCAAACTATGTTACCAAACTCCAGCACACCGGCTCACGTGTTGTGACTTCACCAGAAGTAAATCTAAATAAAACACCAAGACGAGAGAAACTTCATCACTGTCGTCATTCTGCAGTGAAAACGGCGACGGGCGTCGTTTCCATTTGTCGCTCCAGTCGGTGTCGGATCGAGGTCGCCGAGATAAAATGAAAGATGACATTTAATTTGTGTTGGCAGGAAATGTAATCACAGCAGCGACAGACGCGATGATTAGTTTGATCAAACGTCAGACAACAAACAAGCAATAATAAAATGTGAGTGTTCACCCACTCATGTGTGGACGCACTGCGGTGATCACGAGGACAACATCTGGCACAGCTGGACATCGACTGAAATGTGTTAGCAGACGGCATCAAACGGTAGTTCTTTATATTAAGGTCATCGTAATAAGCTCTAGTTAATAGTGAACAAGGCCCTTAGATGTCCTTATAAGATGAGTATTACTAGTGTGTGTGTTAAGACTATTATTAATAACTTTATTGTTGGATTATCAGACAATTAAAAGCAAGAAACTTGTTTGTACACAGTTTAAAGAATGTTAATTAAAGCCTTATGAGTTTATTACCATTGTTTATAATAGCATTACAACTACAAACTGGTAACAAGTTTCATATGAATGCTTATTAATGTCTTATAATCTAACATTAATAATGATCTAACACTGTTTATGATGCTATGACGCACTAAGGACCTTATTACCTATTAACTAACGCTTATTACATGTCGTATTGCCATATTCTTCATCTCGTTTGCTTATTCTTTGATCAGATTTCTGTGCTCATGTTTAGACAACATTAAACACTGATGAATACCAGGTTTTGTAGAAACTCAAACTAACACCTATTTGTACCAATATACAGTAGAAGTTCAGTAGAAACATTATCAGCTCGTTCCTCCACAGACCTGTTTATTAATCAACATATTGCACGTGGCGTCATATCGGAAGTTGATTCCATGCTTTGTGAATATTTCCACGTTTAGGTGACGCAGCCTCATCTTGACTTCACGCTGTCTCGGTTCAAGATTAAAGATTTTATTTCATTTTTTATTTATACTTCCAGCTCTAAGCAGATAATGTGTCATCACTAGCCTGAGCCTCCATGTCTCCATGAAGGTACAGACACCTCTGTGTTTCATCCACACATCACAGTCACGTCTCCGGAGTCCTTCCTCACATTAACCAGCATGTGGTTCCTGCTTGTTAGCTGAACACGACACACAAAGAAAACCTCCTCTGGGGTCCTTTAGTGGATCGAGGCGAGCTGTGGTGGTTTTGTTGTTACGCTTTGTGATTGGTGGATTGGTTGTGAACTAACGGCGGATGAACTGCTGTGGATAACACATGGTGGACCTGAGCTGCAGTCTGGACACGTTTGAGCCGCCGTGTGCTGCCGTTAGAGCTTCTGTGTGTCAGGACCACACACACACACACACTCACACACACACACACACAGGTGTCATGTTATAGACCTGCTTGCTTTTTGCAAATGCAGTGAGACGTTTAGAGGATGCGTGGACTTGTTGCCGTTTGATATGGTGTCTTGGCGTCCAGCATGGTGTTTTTTTTTTTGTATTTGTTTTTTTGTTTTGCAACTTGCCTGCGTGGAAATGAACCGTAGCGGCTGGCAGGAGTTTGTTAGCGGTGGTTAGGGAGCAGGACGTCCGAGCACAGCGCTGAGGTGTGGTGTGTTTGGGTGTCACCGGAGCGGTTCTGCCTCCCCCGGTCTAACCGAGGCCTGATGTTCGCCCGCCGCGGGCGTCGTGTCTCTCCTCTGCCCCGCAGGCTTCGAAGGCTGCTCCATGGTGCCCTCCATCTATCCTCTGGAGACGCTGCACAACTCGCTGTCGCTGAAACAGGTCAACGAGTTCCTCACCGGCGTGTGCGACAGTGCGGGGGATCCGCACACGAGGACCACCAGAGGTTAGAAGACCCGGCGCCGAGTCGTTGTTGTTTACACTGTGACTCATGACGATCATCACTTTGACTCTGTGGGTCCTTCACTGTCTCCCTGCAGTTCTGTCGGCCATGTTTGACACACACAACCAGCCGTCGGTGGACTCGTACCTCCCTCAGAGAGTCCTCTCTTCCTCCATCACTCTCAGATCTCGCTCTGACAGACCTCCTTGGTGTGAGTATTGCAGCATCTCCTTTTTCCTCACTAAGATTTGACATGTTATAATTTACCTTCTCTTAATACTCATTTTCACTGAACAGAGCCTGAAGGCATCATAGTGTAACCTCCATTCGTTAGCTGTTAGCGGTGCTGATGTATCGTCCAATAACGATCGTCAGTAGAACTTTATTTACACAGTGATGGTAAACGTTAAACTGTGTGATTAATCCGTGGCCCGTGACACCACCACCATTACCAGTCTGTACTCGCTCTCATGCCTTTAATGTGTGTTCATGTTGTCGTCCTGCAGACAGCAGCGGCCCATCCAGCACGGTGTCCAGCGCCGGGCCGTCCTCCCCCACCACCGCGGACACCTCGCCACGCTTCAGCTTCAGCGATAAGATCTCCCTCACCCCTCAGAGCAGCGAGGAGACTCACTCCTCTCAAAACGTCTCCGCTCAGCCGGCGCCGGGCCTCGACCTGACTTGCTCCGCCGAAGTCCCTCCGACTCCATGTACCTCGCTAGAGGACGACTTCAAGCTCTGCGCTGTTACCGGTCAATGGCCCGATGATGCCGAATGCGCGCAGGAAGGGCCTGAGGTGGCGCTCGCAGACGGCGACGCCTCCTCAGACGCTGGCCCGAGGCCGCCGTGCTCTGCGTTGGTGGAGCTCCCTCTGGCTCGGATGGAGGGTTACTGCCTCCCCGGCTCGCTGCCCGTGCTGCTGGAACTCAGAGAGAGCAGCAGCGAGGCCGGCTCCAGCTCCCAGACGCCGCAGTCTCCCGAGGGAGCCGACGAGTTCTTTGACACTCTGGAGTCGATGGAGCTGTGGATGGACGGTCCGGAGAGCCTCCCGCTCACTGAGACACCGCTAGAGGCGGCGGCGGCGGCTAACGCAGCAGAGCCGTAGAGGGGCGGAGACTAAACAAACTCAGATCTGTGTTCAACACCATACATGCTGTTCATTGCCTTTTAAATAAAGGCCCACTGGTTAAGGTCATCTGTCTGTAAAGATGTAGGGAGCCACTTGATCTGTTACTGTTGCTTTGTTGCCCTTTTCTTAAAGCTGCGTTAATCCATTTGTTTTTGGCCACTAGGGGGCAGAAACACCCACCAAGCTGTTGAGGTGTTACACATCCAGCAGATTTAATAATGTTATCATCCTGTTGGGAGTTGTGTTTGTGTCCACGTTCTCTCTGTGTTTAGCTCTGGTTTGCTCTCTCCTGAGAGAAGAACATCATTTTAGCTGCTAGATGTTCGCCGACACTGTTCACGTGCACAGAAACACTCCAGTGTGAACTCCCTTATAGTGATCAGTGATCAAAAGGTTTGGGACAGAATCATTCCTAAACAAACGCTGCTTAATAATAATCAAGTAGTCCACTTACACAGTTCATTGTGTACTTGTTAACAGTACAGTAACTTTGATTACATTTAGTTTTTACTCCCACGATACTTTATCTCACAGGAAGCCGTCTGCTTCCAGGCTGACTGCCTGCATCGAAACAGAAATAGAATAGAAACCCTTTTTATTGTCATATACACAAAATTAAATTTGACCTCTGTATTTGACCCATCCCTGTATATAGGGAGCAGTGGGCTGCCAATGACAGGCGCCCAGGGAGCCGGGGGTTCAGTGTCTTGCTCAGGGACACTATGACACGTGACACATCCCAGTCGAGGATCGAACCGTTGACCCTGCGGTTACCAGACAACCCTCTTAAGCCAGTGAGCCACGGTCGCTAAACTAACACACACACACACATTGAAAAAACAATGTAACGTAGCCGAAGTGAAACCAGCTGAATAAGGTCAAAAACCAAATGTTTGAGCTTGTGAACGTGGTCGGTGTCAGTCGGCCATGTTGTTCTGGGCAGGTAGAGACAACGCCGGTTGTCACATTTGATGTGTTTAATTGATTCATTGTGGCCACAAAGATGTTGAATAATGGAGCTTAGAACTGGATGGAGCATCGTTGTTCCCTTCAGCCGTTTCCTTTAGAAAGCTGCAGCAGTGAAGGGCAACCGAGTGTTTCTTAGTTTGTTACAGGAAGCGCTGACTTATAGACTGTAAATGTACAACCTGTGGCTCTTCGTCGTACGCCAGCGTTTTCGTTCCCGCGCTGAGCGTCTATGGCGCTTCGTGGTTTTAAATTCCTGCGTCTGATTTCAAAACAAAAGCTGAATCTTTATTACTGCCAGTGCAACACACCGAGTGTTCAATCCCCAGGTCAGACTGAGTGTGCACGTACTGCCTACGCCCGTAAGCCTCATTGAAGATTCATTATAATCAGTAAGAGTTGATGGAGAAAAGAAAATATTTATTTTGAAATTGCATCTTTAAAAACAAAACTTAAAAATCTGGTATTTTTGATACTAACATCAGATATTTAATTGTACCATATTATTGTATAATTTTTGTAGATTGACCTCGTGATGTGAGAGAACCTGAAAGCTAATTTCTCATTTTATCGCTGAACAAACCGGAGGAGCATTTCACGTTAAATGTGCTTTTATTGTGGCGAGCAGTTATGTAGCAGGTGTGTGTGGATGTTTGAGGAGCAATTCAGGTAGATGTGCAATCCTGTGTTTAATCCGTGGGGTTTCATGTTACTACGTACTGAAGAGGGGAAACCGTCTCTGTTCCGATAATCACACCGTTTGGTTTTGTGCTTTAAAGGGTCAATTCACTCAAATGATTAGAAACATTATGAAAAGCCTGAAACGTTGGCTCCGCTGCGGAGCGTTTGGGTTGTTATCTGATGGAGTGTTTAGTGATCCAGTAGAAGTCTCACTTCGCGTCTGTTTCACCTCGTTAGTTAACGACTACACAAACATGTCTGTTCTTCTGTGTGACGTTTAATACGTTGGTTTTTAGAAAGTTCATTATATGAAACATCCACAATATTCTGTAATACTTCTAACAATGTTACAAAATACAACTTTTGGAATGTAAATTTAATTTGTGGGTCTTTTCTTGTTTGCTTTGGTATCTTTAGTTTCTGTCGTCTCAAACAAACCAATTATATAAAATAATCAAGGATCAGAACAAACTGTATAGAAAATAAGCTAAAGATTTAAATATTATTTCATTTAACAATTGAAAGCTTTTAAATATCTGCAGACATAAGTGTAGAATTTAACTTTTTCCACAATGCTGTTACACAACTGTTCCACTTCTCCCTTGCATTTAATATTTCTCTGTAAAGAAAGTAATTAAAGTAGAAAACATTGTTATTAATTAAAAGGAGCAAGATTCAAATGACACTTGAACGTGGCAGATTGATAATTAAGAGTTAAGAGTCTAAAGGATGGATTTTATTTTCCTTTTTTAAGAAATATTACGGCCATTGTAGGGAAATAAATAGAAGCCAGGGGAGGACGGATGACGTAATTAATCGGATTTATCAATAAGGAAATGCTCGTGATTCAGCCCAGATTCACATATCATTTAGTAACTTGTAACTGAAGCAGCATGTGGAACAAGTACCTCAAAGTTTATCCTCCAGTACTTTAGTAAATGTACTTTCGACCACTCAAAGTAAAGTCTTAAAAGAAAGTACTTGTATGGAACATTTTGAAATGATACTGGGGGGGCTCGACGCTGTAAACACTGTCAGACTGTTGAAATGAGTCAGAAAACAAAGCCCTCACTGTTCCACTGGATTACATCATCCTCACACTGTGGAGGAAGGGACACTGGTGTCTTGTTTCTCTGTGGGACATTCATAGTCCCAGGAGGATACATCCTAATCACGTTGGTGATGCTTCTTCCTCTATCACTGCTATTAGATTGACATTTTAAAGCTTTTTAGTAAAAGCATCGTGTACAACTGTCGGATTGGATTGCCATAAAAGTTGGTATATTCATGGTTCCCAGAGGATGAATCCCAATGAGTTTAGCGATCTGACGATTTTTCCTCTTAACACTGCAAACGGGTCAAAGTTTCCACTCATCCAGTGAAATATCTTATCATCGACATGTAGGGCTGGAAATACATTCTGCCAACACAATCATTGTCCCCAGAAGATAAATCCTAATGATTTTAGGGCTCCTCTGACTTTTCCTTTAGCGCAAACACAAGGATCACATTTGCAGTTTTGAGTGAAATATCATGACAACTATTGGATAGATTGCCATGACATTGAGTTCAGACATTCATGTTCCTCTGAGGATGAATTGCAATAACATTTCCTCTAGTGCCATCGTCAGGTCAAGATTTTATTTTGTCCAATACTCTCAGACGTTCCCTTCAGCCTCAGCTGTATGAGCACATGTTAGCATGCTAATCTTGGACATGCTAAGTCACTGATACGACCATTTAATGGAATGGAGCCGGCGTAAATGTTAATTTGCTGCTTTAACTACATTTTGCAGTAGCTTGCTGGTAGTTCGACATTCATATTTGCAGTCAAGTAGTTAAATTACTTTTTTTGTCATTTTTGGTGTAATTAATTAATGAAACTACAACTACATGAAAGGAATGCATTAAACCTGCATTCTCTCTAGTGTCCATCAGGGGGCGACTCCTCTGGTTGTATAGAAGTCTATGAGAAAATTATTGATTTTTTACATTTTAAATTACTAAATATTTTTTAGATGGGATTTTTATTTGGGGTTATGTATGACCTTTGAAGATTTTAACGTTTAGTTCTCAGATATAAAACAGGTCAGTAAAAGAAAATAGTCTTCAAAATAGTGTAAATGAGACGACTAGACGTCCACACGAGAACACTAGTCCTTTAGCTTAGTGGTGGATACGTGAAGTCATGTGACCGTTAGCTTTTTATGCTACACTTCAAACATCATAAAAGTGGAGTTCATGTGTAGAGATTATCTTGATGAACTAAACGACGTATGATTAAACGTGTTATTCATAAACCTTTGACACAGATTATTTTCTGCAATAATCTAGAATCCAATGGAAAACTACTAGCATTAGCATTAGCTGTCAGCGTGGTTAAACTCACTGCTTTGCTACAAAGGGTCACAAGCTAAAAAACACTTTGTATTAAAAGACTTTCATCAGTTCACAGAAGGAGAACATTCTGCGTGATGTAATGGTGCAAAAAGAAAAGAGGGAGACATTCTTTCTTCAGTAAATGATGTTTTTATTGGTCTTCACCACACTTGTTCCCGTTTTAACAATAAATCTGTTTTTTATTTTACCTTTTGTAAGCATTTAAAGAGCGATAAAGAGAATATTGCACTTAAAAACAAGAGATCAAAGTAGAACCATGAAGCAGAAAGGAGGAAAATAAAAACAACACGATCACGAGGCTTTCTTTACAGCACAGCACAGCCAGGTTACACGTGCCTCCTCAGTACCGCACAGTTTAGCGTCTTAAATATGCATCTTTTAAATTAGCAGTTCTATGTTAAGTCATGTTTTTCTTCATCTATTACAATACAGGAGAACTCAAAAAGGTACACATGCACGTACAAGCAGGGCTCACTGAAAACCAACAGTCCTTATGATGATTTGTTTCACGGCTGAACGCCACAGATATTTAGTTTTTAACTCTTTTTTTATTTTGTTTTGCACAATACGAAAATGCAGCGGTTATGAGTGTGTGTGTGAGTGTTAAGCTTTGTCTGGAAAAGAGTGAATAATAGGAAATCTTCTCTAGATAAAAATGTTTTGACGTGAGTGTCTGGCAGTCTGGGTTCTGAGTGGTCTGCTCATATGTGAGTTGTTATTGGCCTTTACAGTGGTGCAGTATAGGAATGCAGCTGACAGAGTGGCTTAACAGGAACAACGGAGCTCAACGTCAGCGTCGTCTCTTCGCTGTCTGTAAGGATTCTGTCAAACGGTCATCCGAAGAACGAAACTGTGTTGGGGGTTTTAAGTTTTCCCTCCCTGCACAGAGTCGAGATGCATCGCCGGCCGCGACAGTCGGATGTACCAAGGCCACCAGGAGATCAAAGTCCTCCACGGAGAACGTAAAGGTAAATCTGCATCTTCACATTCAAATCAACTGGAGCCGCTGAGGTCGTCGTGGCTCCCTGCAGCCCTCCTGCTTTAATATTAAATCTTTTTTTTATGTACATGCAATCTGTTGCGCATGCATCGCAGTCGAGTAAAATATCATACAGAAGAATATCTGGAGTTGTTTTTTTTTTTACTGCGGATCATAAAATAGCAACCCTGGTGAGGTGTTTTGGTCCAGTGTGTAGGTTTGTTTTGTTCCTGGTTAAAATCTCTTCAAAGTACTTATCAAAATATATATTAATATCAAATTAAAAGCATGTCTACGCATAATAAAAGTCTTACTTTAAAACGTCCACTGGTTAACCACTAAAATTAAAGAAATGGCTAAAAACATGAGGTGGCTTCAAAATATATGTTTGCAAATGATATTTAACAGTAACCAGAAGAAAACGGCACAGCTGTAATTGTTTTTATGTTGCTAAATTTAAGTTTCTGCACAATGGTTACTGTTTGTGCTTCTCAGAGTGGCAGCTCCTGGAATTCTAAAACACTACGTCTGAAATAGTTTAAAAGTGCCATTTTTATGCTCAATATATGTACAACTATTTTTATTTTTTATTTTTCTTGTGCACCGACGTTCTCACCGACAAGACTCGCACAACAACAGAGGAGGCCAGCTCGCCGAGAACCTTCCAAACCATCTCCCTTCCAGCACAGCGGGACAAAAAGGCACATGTGGGTGACAGTCTAACCTCTCAACCGCAAACACAAACCTCTCCTCGCAGCCACATGCTCCTATTGTCGTAGTGGAATACATTCTTCGTTCTTCAACGCAGCGTTTTGTACAAAGATCTTTTGAGACGCAGCAACTGATGTGAGGTTTGTCGATTTGTTGAGTGCTGTTCTGTATGTAAAGATATATAAACGGGGTAGAGTCCAAAGATCGGGAATGATGATTTTGTTACTTGGATCACCGCCTTCAGTTCTCCTCAAGATCCTCTGCAACAATACGTTAACAGGAAATACACTGAAAAAATACATTGAAGACTACTAACAATTACAGAGAGAAACATATTCGTCGAATCCACTGTAAGAAATAACAGCCACCGAGAAACTCCTACTGCAACGATTGATTTTTCGATTTTAAATAACCGTAGAAATATCATAACTCACTACAAGACAGATTTGTGAATATGGTCTTCCCTATGCTACGGCAAATATACTGTAAACGACATATTTTCTATTGTACTATTTCAGTAGGAGGCACAAAGTTCAACACTGGGACTGTCATTGTTTTGGAAGAAAGACAGAAAATAGAGGAGAGTTAAGTAAAGCTGGTCACATTTAGCCTGTAATGATGATTTATCTATCAGCAAAGGTATTCAAATTTGTTTGGGATTCAGTGGAAGAAAATAACTTTGTTGCCGGCTTTAAAGTACGCAAACTTGTGCTCTGATTTCGGCCAATTTGAAGACAAGCAACCAAACATTCATTTCATGTTTTTTTCCTATCCTTATTTTTTTCAACGGGCATTTTGTCTCAATAAACAAAGACTCATTGTCTCAAAGTTGGGGAACAAACAAAAAAAACAAAACAGAAATAATAATGTAGTGGAGGACATAGTTGTCAGAAAACTACCGTTGTAATATAAGTGGTGATAGCCACGACAAGCTTATCAATGAATAAAAATCTAGAAAAACATAGACTGTTATCCAGGTCTGTTTCTGCTTTCGCTCAGAGCCCAAAGCAGAGGCAGATTATCATATCAGGCTATAGAGAAGAGCAATTAAAATCCAGATCTACGCTGAGGAGGGGAGCGAGAGGAAACCGGGGGGTTTTAAAACTCGATCTTGCAGGCGGGGAAAGACTCGTCCTGCATGACGACGGTGCTGCTGGAGGCCAGGACCATGATGTTGAGCTCCTGCTGCCTCTCGTGGGTCTGCTGGTACCAGTCGCGGGTCACCTCCGTGTCGTGGGTCGGGATCAGCGTCACCTGAGCGTGCAAGACAACAGATCAGGAAATGTCCCGGGTGAGAGGGTTGAGGGGCAGAAAGGGGTGAGACATAGGCTGGGTTTGACTATCGCAGTGTCTCCCCTCTCTAACTTGCACTTGTGAGAGAATGGTTCGATGTGATATATCTATGGTATGTTTGAATTGCATCATCAAACTTTCTTGTATGAATATTGTGTGGCCCCACCAAAATCTTCATACCAAAATCGCCACTGGACAGGTGATCATTTTAAACCCTGAAACACACGTAAATAAGTGGATCATTCTAGAATACACGTCAATCTCAGCGTGAAAACTCTTACCTGTAGGTTCGATCCCCACTGAGCTTTGCCGTCCAGCAGTGCATCGAGGACTCCTCGGCCGGGTTCGCCGCTCGCCGCGTCGTTCCCGCTGACCACATAGTACGCAGAGCGAACGCGTTTGAAAAACTCTTGGTCCACGTTCTTGGCACTGCAGTGGTTGGGAATGTAGGCCAAGTCCACATAAATAGGAAGGCCAGGAGCACCTGCAGACCCGGACTTCTGAGAACCTGAGTGGGAGAACAAAACCAAGCTGTCACCATGCATACATGTCTTTTATTGTTGTTTGTTGTTGTCAGACTGATTTATATATTTTCTACACTCTGTATGCTTTTATGTTTTGTGCTTCCGACATGTCTGTTTTTAGTGTCTAACAATGCAACATACTCTTGTCTGTAGTCCATGTTTCTATTTAACATAATTATCTCTCATTTACTTGCTTTACATGTGTCGTTGTATGAGCCTCTGTGTTACGTGTCTTGATAGTACTTGACAATGTTGTATGAAAGTGTCCTGAATGATGTATCTACTCATATTATGAAAAATAGGCTCTTGGCTAACTCTGGCGCATTTACAGGAATGTTTTAGTAATGTGCACTGTCCCTGCCAAATAAACCAATACAATATCAAATAAAAAACTATGTGCAAATTATTTTAGTTTTGTAGAATTGAATAACATTTTCTCACCTGAACTGCTCTTGACACCATTCGTCAGCGTCTTGCCGGGGTTGTAGCTCGACCTGGAGAGGTCATCGTCTTTGGAGCCCTGTCCGTCCGACAGACGAGACATACGAGAGCTCTTGTCTGCCTCCTTCTTCTTCAGCGAAGCGCTGCGAGGAGACGGCATCTGTTTGACAGGCATGGGAGACCTCTTGCGCCTGGCCGGAGATGCTGATTTGGTTTTCCCGGAAGTCTTCTTTAAGCCCTTGGCTTTTGGCTCCTTCTTAACTACGCCGTTATCCAGGGAGTCGGGATCCACCATGCAAACATCCGGGCGTGGTGGGTGAGGGTAGGGGTCCACGAGGGGAGCAGGAGGAGGGTCGTTGGTCCTCCCAGAGGAATGATGGTTGCCTCCTCCCGTGGCGGATAATTTATCAACGGGCATGTAGTCTGCATCCTCATCTGAGTCCATGTTGCCCTCGCCGGTGACCAAGGGGAACTCCTCGGTGCCTGGAGGGACATCGGAGTCTGACTGAGAGGCTGAAGACTCGCTGACTGAGGTGGGCGGTGTGTCCTCTGTGGCCAGACCCAGCACTGGCAACGTACCGCCGGCTTGGTGCAGAGAGCCGCTGTGATGATGGGGCTGCTTGTGAGCCCTTCTCTTGACTGAAAGATCGTGCCCATCGGCCTCTTGCGATTGATCACTTCTGCGTTCACGCTCCTCATCGTCGTCGTCGCTGGATAATTTCCGCATGCACGGGTTGATGAAGGATGGCGAGAGGTCCTGTTTGGGCTGCCTGTACTCGGAGGAGGAATACCCAGGAGAGCTGCGACTGCCGTATGAGGAGGTGGCTCCCATGGGCACATCACCAGCAAGATCCTGATCACTGTCGTCGTCGTCATCCTCATCGTCCTGCCCTCCTCGGCTGCACTCCTCGGCGTAGAACGGAGAGCGAAATGGCTGATCGGTTGTAGAGAGAGACAGCGGGCGGGCCGGGTGCTCTGGCTCCATCTCACACGCCTCTTCGAACTCATCATCGTGACGGTAATGGGGAGGGGAGTCTCCGGGCACCATCCCCATCTGGGACTTTGACATCTCCCACTCAAAAGAGCTCCTGTAAGCTGCTGCTGCCTCTCTGGGCTCCACCTTGGCTTGGCCTGAAGATGCACCACTGGCTGCTGCACTAGCAGGCATCGAGGTGGCGCTTGCGCCGACCTCCGTGGGGCCGTTGACTGTGTCAGACTTGTTGGCCTGGAGAGGCGAGGACATATAGGAGCCGAGAACATCGGGGAGAGCACCAGCTGTCTTTTCACTGGCAGCTGGAGCGACAGGCTTGTCAGAAAATGAGAGGCTACCAGCCAGGCCGCCGGAGGGCGACCTCCGAGTCATCTCACGCATGTAAGCCTCCTCATCCTCTTCCTCGCTGCTGTCCGTCTCCTCAAAGTAATGTTTGCCTTCTATGTCAGGGCGCGGTGAGGAAGTAACACCGAACAGGGCGGCACTGGCCGCCTCTTTGTCTTTGGAGATCTCTGAATGTTGAGCAAACGGTCCTGCTGAGGCCCCAAACCCAACAGCCGTGTCAAGCTTGGACCCTTTAGACCATTCAGGCTTATAGAAGCAGTCCGATTGAGGGCCTTTGTCCGTGACTCCATCTGATATGGTCTTTTGCTCCTTCTTGTCTTCTGCAAAGGCAGCGGACGATAGTGAGGGGAAGGACTTGACCTCCTGAAATGGGCTGAGGGGTGAGAAACGAGCTAAACTGGAGGTGGACTCGGCCGCAGTTGTAGCTTTAAACTGTTTCTCGGACACTTCTAGATAGTCGTCTTTGGCGCCAGCGGAGCCGGAGAAGGAAGAGTCCATGACCTGTTCATCTTTAAAGGAGGAGTACTCAAAGAGAGGCTCGGCGGGCGTCTCCAGCTCCTCTCCGAACTGACGGCTGGTGGAGAGGGAGCCAGAGGTGGACGAGGAGTAGCTATAGGCCGAAGACGAAGAGTACCCAGGGGCAGCGGTGGTCGTGTACTGAAAGCTTGTGTCCAGTGATGTCTTACTCAGAAGGTCTGGTGTTTTCTGTTTGTCAATATCAGCATCAGCTTTTTGATTCTCGTAATAACTGTCCTCTGTTGATTTCAAAGTGAAATCCTCTTTACCTTTGTCTGTGGTCTGACTTGAATAAAATGAGTCTTTCTCACCACTCCCATATGAGCACTCAAACCCTGAGGAGTAGCCAGAGAAACCTGTAGCTCCTAAATCTGTTGGCTTTCCGCTGAAGGATGAAGAGTCAATCTTCGCTTCGTGTTCGGTCTTTGTGAGCAAGCTAGAGCTGCTCGGCTTCCCCTGGCTGTTGTAGCCGTATCCAGCCATAGAAACCATAAATTCAGGCCTCTTTGAGCCAAACATTTCACTGATTGGACTTTTTACTTCCTTCTCGGACTTCTCTTTGGCGCCTTTCTCCATGTCGGAATCAACCGCACCCTCGCCGTTGTCCTCCTCATCATCTTCGTCTTCGTCGTCATCATAGTCTTCATCGACAACATCGTCATCATAGTCCTCCTCATCCCTTGCTGTCAGTTTTCGCATGTCCACCTCCAAACACCCTCCTTTCTCACCATAGCCTGCGCCAGCATCATCAAACGCTGTCATCGAGGAATACTTCGGGGGCTTCGTGCCGTCAGTGTGGCTTTTAAAGGAATCGTCTTTTTCTGGTGACAAAGAAGTGGACGAGGACTCGGGTCTATCAGCCACTGAAGGGAATCGGCAACTTGTGTTGTATTTAAATGCCTCCTCTCTTTGGACCTCTTCAAATGGAGGTATAGCAGAAGTGCTCTTTGAGTCGAGCCACGGTGAGGCGGAGGACTCTTTTTCATAAGAGACGGTAAATCCCTCCTTCTCTGACATCTTGTCCGTGGCTGTTACCGGGGCCGGGGGCTCTGGTTTCTGCGAATCCACTCCACCTTTTGCAGTGTTCTTCTCCACTTTATCTACAGACTCCTGACGATATGAATCTGAGTCCACTGAGCCGTAAATGTCACTGTAAGAGAACGTTTTGCCATGCACATAGGGCGTGTCCTGTCTTATATACACCGCCTTTTCTTTGCTCGCCTTCTCTGGAAAATTATAGAGACTGAAATGAACACTTTTCTCGTGCTCCTTTAAAGCGACATCTGTTTCCTCTGCGCTTTCCTTTTCTAAGTCTACTTTACTTTGATCTGTTGATAAGGGCTTATGGGACCCTTCCCCACTATGGAAATCATCATCTTTTTCATCTTCATCTGAGTACATCACTTGAGGTTTCGGTATCTCTGTGCTGAAAGACACTTGTGTCTTGTCGGAGCTCTTGACTTCTGTTTCTATCTTTGAAGATTTTGCCTCAGAGGCGAAGTCGTCATCCAAGAAGCACCCCTCTTTTGCCTCCATAAGCTTGGCCTTAACAGTGGGCTGTAGATTCTTTTTGGTGTAAGAGTCATCTTCCTCCTCATTGTCTTCACTGGATTCATCGGACTTGTCAGACGCTGTCTTGTCACCGATAAATGCGGTACTGTCTGAGACGATGGCTGATTTAAAATCTATCGCTGCTTCATCTTTGTCTTCTGTCTTAAAGGGTTTCTCTTCTGTCGGAGAGTAGCCACTGCTTGTCGGCACAGACTGTGTGGGTGAGGCCAGTTTCATGGTGCTGTCATCTGGACTTAGACATCTTTCCTCACTGTCCTGCCTGTGGGACTCTAATTCTAACCCAGGGGAGAAAGACGGAGGGGGTGAAATAGGCTTTATATCAGTCTTAAACCCCTCTGAGCTAAAGAGAGACTGGTTTTCTTTGACAGCCTGTGTGGGAGAGTACTGCATGGTAGAAAAGAGAGGAGGAGAAAAAGTGGCAGAAGGAGATTTCTGCTTCTCCTGAAGCATCATGAAGGCTGCATGTTCGTAGCCCTCTTGGAGTTTACCCAGAGGAATATCGACATTAGGAGTCTGATCCTCGTCCTCCTCGTCGTCTTCTTCTTCGTGGACCGATTTGATCTTTGCATCACCTTCCATCTCAGGAATGTTGGGCTGGTACTCATCAGAGGAAGGGGACTTGAAGCACTTGTCGTCCTCCAGAGAGGAGGTGGGTGAAATGGTTCCCGCTGAGTTGAGATAGTCCTTCCCCTGGGTGGCCTCAGCGCGCAAGGGGATACTGTTGATGGGGTCCAGCAGGAGAGAGTTCTTCCCAGCTTCCTCGGTCTGAGGCGCCGTCACAGAGGCTATCGACTGGTCCTCGGCTACAGACGTGGCAAAGGACGACAGTTTGTCGTATTCTGTGATGGAGGTCGCCGAGGAGATGTGCTCCTCCTCTGCAAGAGGAGCGGCAATGATGGCGGGGTATGGTGCAAGTTCAGGCTCGTGACCTCCCATGAAGGCTTTGGGTTTGACGTCAGACACGGCGGAGTACTTCATCTCTTTTATACCGTGCATGGAGTCAAAGGTACCGGGGATGTCAGGGACAGAGATGTCATAGGAGCCCACATCGTAGCGCAGCTGTGGGATCCTATCTTCTGGTTCCTCATGGATCTCCTCATCAGAGATGGTCTGCTCAGTCTCGGAGTAGCCGGGGATGGTTTCGTCTTGGATGAAGGAGAACTGCTCTGAGGCGGAGGCTGCTACTTGACTTGACAGGGCTGTGGTTGATGGAGGTTTTGGGTCAGCTGGCTTGGTGTCCCACTCCTTTCCAGTTTTTTCCCTTTTTGCCTCCTCTGTTTTATATTTCAGGACCTCATCGTCTTCCGTTCCTTCAAGGTCAGCTTTTTCAATGACATCACCCTCCTCCTCTGAGCTGTCGCTCTTCTTCGATCTGTCTCTTATGTCGTCCTTTGCAGGATATTTGTTATATTTCTCCATTTTCTCCTCTTCGTACTTCTTGTCAAAGATATCACTCACTTCCTTCTTTTCAGCGGCTGCAATGCGTACCGAAGCGCCTTTGTCTTTGTTGTCTTCTATCTGTTCAACAGGGGATTTGGGCGAAGCCGATTTTGTATCAGTAGCTGGTGATGTGACTTTCTCATCACTGAAAACTAAAGACGGGACTTTAGTATCTGTATGGAGTGAATGCCCAAACATCACATCATTCTGGATTGGCTCAGTCTTAACTTTGGACTGATCTTCTTGTTTCAGAGCCTCAAAGTCCTCAGTGAGGTCCTCTGGGGAGGAAACAATGGACCTGTCAGCCAAAGCTGCTGCTGCGATCTCCTCTGGGATGTTCTTTGGGACTGGCTTTTTCTCATGCGCTTCCTCTTTCACTGCTTTGTTTTTGTCAGTCTTGGGCTTAGCCTGAGTCTTAGCCTTATGCAGAGTTTTTCTCACTTCAGGGGTGAGCGGCTTCAGGTCAGGTTTAGTGATTTTTCTCAGCTCCGGTTTACTTGGGTCCTTCTTTTTATTCTCCTTGGCTTTACTTTCCTTTTTCTCTTCTTTTCTTATATTTTCATCTTTCTTTACTTCACGTTTCTCTTTCTTGATTTCTTTTTTCTCTTTGTCTTTCTTTTCGTCCATTTTGGACGCTTTTTCATTCTTGACAGTTGTATCCTTGGATATTTTCTTTTTCTCCGTCTTGCCTGCCACAGGGGCCACCTCACTGTTCTTCTGTTGCTTGGTGGCTTTTAGACTTTTGAGTTTCTTCTCTTCCTTCTTTTCCACTTTATTCTCTTTCGTGATTTCACTCTTGGACTCTTCGTCATGTCCACTGGCTTCTTTCTTTGTTGTTTTAGGGTGTGGTTTCGGTGAAGACTTGAGACTCTCTTTGCTGTCAGTTCTTGATCTCATTTTTGTCTGTTTGATAATGGGAGGAGGGGCACCAGATGATATGTCTTTTTGAGTAGCCACAGGGTATCGCAGGAAGTCAAGGTGTTTCAGTTTCTCAAGGCCCTCGAAGATTTTATTCTGCGGTGCATTTCCAGGGAAGAGCACCCTAACTATCTTTTCTGTTGGACGGTGAGGAAGCCAAACAATAAGAGCGGTAACTGATGTCAAATAGGGAACAGATATTTCTCCTTCTTTTCCATTGGCCATCGTAATCCCTGTCTTGGCTTTGCTGTTCCCAGCCCATTTCTGCATTAGAAACTGCATCTCTTTGCTCTCCTTTACAGGGTTTAAGACGTACATGTCTAACTTTCCCACACCAAGTTTGTGGAATAGTGTAATGGGTTCAATAGTGTTGGTGACTACCCTGTGAAGAGGCTCTGGTGTGATACCGAGCTTGTTGAGGTACTGCAAGGTAAGAGATGCCTCCTCAATGCTGCGCTTCACTTTCAGCGTGGACTCAGGCATTCGAAGCTTCTCTGGGACGTTGAAAAACACAATCCCAAGCTCAGGAGAGATCTGGTTCTTCATCCATTCGCCGTTGCTGCTGGATCCACTTCCTTGGTTACGCCCCTCTTCTTGCTCTGCAATCTTCCTCTGGAACAACCCATTGATGCCTGGGAGGTTGTCTGCACCAATATGGGTGAGCAGAACGGAGTCGATCCTGTCCAGGTGGCGAACCAGCTTCCAGAAGCAAGACTTCCGATCAGACCCTCCATCCACCAGGATGTTGAATCCGTTGACGGCAAACAGAGCGGAGTCTCCTCGGCCTCCAGGGAAGATGTAGCAGCAGGGTTTGGACAGCTTCAGAAAACCTCCAGAGGTCGGGGGCTCCAGGAGGTCAAAGGACGACGGCACATCAACCGTCTCTGAGACATACTCGGTGAACTCCGTGACTCCGTCCATGTCGGGGAGGTGAGGTTCGGGATTCAAGCGGTATTCCAGAAGATTTTGAAATGACTGCTGCTCCTGGCTTTGGCCAAGGGAGCTCCAGCCCCCGTCTCCCTGACAGGAAACAGTAAGCCTGGATGGCTGCTCTGAAGAGGCCTTCGACAGGTGTTCAATTACCTGGGAACACAGTAACAGTTAAAAACAGCCTAAATAATGTGTCCATGTAAGCTTGATCCATACACTGTAAAGAAAGCACAATCTGCTTACTTGAGGGTTGGAGATGATGTCGGAGAAGTGCTGCCAGGTGAAGGCTCCAGCTTGCAGTAGGATGTCGCCTCCCTGCTCAGAGCTCTGGCCGCTCAGTATCAGCAACTTATTCCCGGCAAAATCGGTGATTAGAGAGCGAATCTGGGTAGAGTACAGAATAACCAACTGTAACAACTGCGAATATTGATGCTTTGTAATAATAAATCTTGCATAAGTCATCCAAATAAGACCTAAAATGTCAAATGTGGGCTACTGTTCTGGAAAGATGAGACAAATATTTTTGTAGTGAACAAACAAGCAATGTAATTGGTAAATATTCTGCTTCCCAAAGGAACAAAGCTCACATCATCTCACATATATCCGTGTGTAACCGTTCTCAGTCCCAAATCAAGTATTGTAGCTTGGTCAGCGGCCCTACGCGTCAAATTCATAGACGTCGCCAATGTGTTTTTATCGTCACCAATGAACGGAAGTCTGAAATGTGGAAGAGTGACGTAAAGACGCCGTATGCGGCTCTGGTAGCACCCACGACATGTCAATCACTGTAGTCCCGCCCTAAAGCATCCCCTGCTTTATGCTCTGTTTGACTCTAAATGGACCATAATGTACTAAATGAACATCATGCTGTATTGAAGAAGACTTGAAACTAGAGCTTGAGACCATAAACTCATGTTTACAATGTTTACTGAGGTAATAAATCAAGAGAGAAGTAGAGTCATTTTCTCATAGACTTCTATACAACCAGAGGAGTCGCCCCCTGGTGGACACTAGAGAGAATGCAGGTTTTAAGACACTTCCACATTGGCGTAGTGTAGTTAATTAGGTTACGTAACATAGCATTTCTGGGTCATAATACGACCTACTTAACTATGTTACAAACAACCTAAAACAAGTGTATTACTAAATCTAACCAAGTTATTTCCTGTGAAAATGGAAGTTTATGTCAAATACAGCTTTTCTAATGTGATATCTCCAAATGAGCATAAAAACATGTGATTGGAAAACTACGGTCCCTCTAGAACCGATGTTTGGTTTGTCTGTTCTAGGCTACTGTAGAAGACTATAAGACTGTGAAGAGGACCTGCTGTCTATGAAGATAAGAATTATCTTTCTAAGCAAACAAAGACAGCGATTCTTAGTTTCAGGTGATTATAGACTCATGAAAACATAGTTATGAATATTATATTCCATTTCTGCTGATAGACCCCCCAAGATGCTACACACTGGACCTTTAATTTCACCCAGCAAAAGGCACGTTATTTTTGTAATTGATAAATCATTGTCTCAATGAGAAGCTGAATTTGCTGCAGCATTAAGAATAAATAAACAGTTCAGTGTGTTTTCAGACAATCAGGGTTTCTTTAGCAGGTTCAAATATCAGCTGCTGTTTGTCATACTACTCTAGACAAAAATAATAATGAAAACTACGAGTTTTTTTGTTTGTTATTTAAATTTCACCAGCAGTCAAAGGCGAAACTAACAACTGACTATTACTTTTTAACACTGACAGTCAAATCTGAGGCATCTGAGTGGGTTTATTTATAACACAAAGAAGTGTCTGTGTCTCACACTGAGTGTGTTCCTGTTAATCAACTGAGCGATGAGCACTAGCAGGAGAGACATGGACCTCCCATTGGGGCTGAATGGTGAAACAAAATAATAATGGCCAGAAATAAGAATACCGAACATGTCCTGCAGGAATCTGTGGTTTTGTCTGTGTTGTCCAGGTGTGACTCACTTCTGAGGCTGCGGTCTCCTCTGATGGGTTCACCAACACCACTGTCTCCAGGACATCACTCTGATACTGGAGAATCCGCTGACCTGCAGGAAACACAGATAATAAAAACATTATGACACCAAGGTCCAATAACAGGCCTTCTTCTGACGGGGCTGCTGTCATTACAGGATAAAATCCACAGTTTAATCATCATTTAGCTTTAATAAAGACCTAGAATAGGCTGATACAGAATACATATATCACTGTCAGACCGTGTGAAATCAATAAAATTGTTTTGTTAGATCTAGACGAGTCTGTGAGGTTGTACTTTTGAGCTAAATGCTAGTGTCAGGATGCTAACGTTAACGCTAACATGCTAATGTTTTGCAGGAATAATGTTCAACACGTTCATCATCAGCATGTTAGCATTCCAGTAGTTGCTAATTAGCACCAACACGGCACAGCTTAGGCTGAATGTCATTAGTTTTGCAGCTTATTTGGATTATACAAATTGAACGATACACATAAAAATGGCCGCCGCTCTGACCATCATACTACGTTAATAGTAGTACTACCTTAAGTTCTATTTCTAAAGACAGAACTCTTAAGGCGAACTGCTTTAAACCGAGCTGCTGGTTGAACAAATAAACTAGAAGAGAAACAATCTCTAACACCATGAACGAGCGGCGTCATGTACTGACAGAACAACGCCCGTCACTCTGCACATGTGGCCGTGCACAAGCATCCTCAGACCCCACCCCGTCTCCTCTCCCTGTTCACATGCCATCTTATTTCTCCACTTTAATAAAGCCCCCCCCAGACAAGTTTAATCCTGGAAATATGCTCTTTTCATACACAATCACAACAAAAAAAATATAAATAATAAGCCTCTTTGGCAGTTGCTATGGGGACGCTTCTCTGGCCGTCGCTGCTGGCTGAGTTACACTGACCCAGTCTTGGCTGAGGGAGACGCATTGCAGCATTTCTGCGAGAGGGAGGGGATGCTGGTACTGCATGAAAGTATGCACGCAGCATCACATAGTACAGGAGGTGAAGGCGAGTGGCAGAGCAGCAGCATTATAAGCAGCTCCATCACAGTGGGATCTATATTTAGCACGAAGGATGTTGCTGTCCAAAAAAAACAGTGAAGGAGCTGTCACAGTGTGTTTATGTCTCCTTCTTCTGCCGGAAGAGGAGGCAACGAGAGGGGAGGGAAAGATAAATCCAGCACTTGATGGCGTAATATTTATGTGTTATAGGTCACGGATACGTGAGGCACACTTTGCAATGTAACATCTGGGGGGAGGTATAAGTGTCAGACGACGAGTCAGATTCATGCGGCTTCATAGATGCTGTCTGAAATGAGTTCACAATCTGGATTTGTTCAGCTGCTGATCAAACAAGTAGAGTGGAACTGATATGTTGTGGGTTTTCCCCTTTTCTTTCTGAACCCAGGAGACGGTTTGAATGTAAAACAAACAAACAACACCAATACTGACATCTAGGTCTTTTTTTATGTTCTTCTCAGTACGTTAATGAAGACTGCAAACTCATTATTTGCTGGACACTTGCTTTAATGATGCGAATGAAAGTGCTTGGTGTTAAATGTTAAACACTGAGCTCCATGTTTCAGCACTTTATTACTGAAACTGATCTCTAATCACCAGCTGATTGGCTCTCAGTGATTGCAGACCAGTAACAGCTGCGTTCGGGCCCAGTCAGCAAACAATGTGGCAGAAAACGGTACAAAACTGTGGCTCTATTTCATGAATATTTCCAGCAACAATGCTAGCAGAGATAATTGGGATTATTAAATAGTTGACGAGTCCGTCGACACCCCGGTTTTGAGGGAGGTTCGCTTAAATGAAAACAAATGGACTGCTGCTTCAATGTTGGACCCTTTGTGGACCCCTTAAGTTTAAGGATTTATTACTTTGTTGGACTTTCAGGCTGCTTTGAAGGTACAGAGACATCATGTTTTAAAGATTACATTTGTGCCATGCGCTGTATTCTAACCTTCAGTTCAGTATTCATGGTATTCATGGCATTCAGTGGTTCCCAAGCCCAGATTTTGAGTTTAGAGTTTGTAAGTAATCTGGATGGTTGTAAGTTAATTAACAGGGTACGAAAGAAGAAACAAAAAAACTAATTCTTGTGAAATATTGCTATTATTTCAAATCACCGGCCTGGTTTGAAACCAACTCTACCTCTGGCAGCTTTACTTGAAGGAGGGCTTTCTGACCTCCTAGGTGAGCCTTTCATTGACTTCGTAATCATTATCTCATCTCTTTTAGCGCCTTCAACTGTCGTGACATCAGACTGAACTGTTATGACACCAGATAGCGGAGACATCTGACAGACAAAAGTGCTGCTGGAAGGAAAACACAACCGTTTCACGTCGTACGACGAGAGAGGAGAAGGAGGTACGAACCTCTTTTCTGTTGACTGTTGACCACCAGAGTCATAAAGATAAAATCATTTCATCATGTAAATGTGTTGAACAGAATGACACACTGAATACATTCTTAAATTCCTGACTAAATAACGTAAAAATGTGACAAATAGTTCACTGATAAAAACACCATTTACACGTCTATGGATTATACAAAATAGGCTAATTTGCTTTTAAATGCTTTAGAAACAGGAAGTCTTTGAGAGGTGGGGCTCTGGTGCTCACGTTGCCCATGATTCCTTGCTGTGTGGTGACCAGGCGTCAACCTCCGGGTCTGAAGAGTGAAGTCAATGCTGAAGTGTCTATTAAAGCTGCATTCTCTCTAGTGTCCACCAGGGGGCGACTCCTCTGGTTGTATAGAAGTCTATGAGAAAATGACTCTACTTCTCTCTTGATTTATTACCTCAGTAAACATTGTAAACATGAGTTTATGGTCTCAATCTCTAGTTTCAAGTCTTCTTCAATACAGCATGATGTTCATTTAGTACATTATGGTCCATTTAGAGTCAAACAGACCATAAAGCAGGGGATGCTTTAGGGCGGGGCTACACGGTGATTGACAGGTCTCTACCAGAGACGTATACGGCGTCTCTACGTCACTCCTCATTCAAAATATGGTCACTTCTGTTCACTTGTTGCAAAAAAGTCAAGATGATGACGGCCAAATCGTCGAACTCTTGGCTTCAAAACCATCAGTCCACAAACCAATGAATGGCGTCTCGACGACTACGACTACGTTCTTCTATTCAGTCTATGGTGGAGACAAAATGCCGCCTTTCCAGCCCACTAATACAAACGCTCTGAGAAGCCTATTAACCGCCTCACTCCTCTCATTCCTATTTCAAGCTGTCCAGGGGACAATCTGCTGTAAAGCCACTTGTGTGCCCACACATCATTCAGACTGTTATCATGGAAACCGACATCGTCTGGGCCTCTGTGGCTCTCATCGGGCTGAATGCGACAGACGCGTAATGGAAGATTAACTGAGGGAGGATGGATGCTCGTAAAATTGTGAGCCTCTGTTGGGTCTGAGGGGTGAAGTGACTCCAGTAACACACACTTGAGATTATGGCTGGTGCATCAGACCGGTACAGTTTCCCTCATGACAACTGGATAATGATGGAGGGGAAGAAAGGATTCAGGCTTTCGGCTGTAAAAAAACGATCTGACATACTGTACTACAGCCCTGTAGACTCTCCATCACCATGAAGACCTGCAAATGCTTTTAATGACAATTCTGCCAATACTGCATCTTTGTTTTCTATTTTTCTGATTAAGACTTTTGTATCTCATAATTATTAATGATTTACTGTCTTAAACTTACGAGAAATGTAATTTTGAGATATCAATTGTCACACTGTTTTCTAGCTGTTTATTATATTACTTGATTTCAGCCGATGGACTATGGATAGTTTTAAAGAAATCTCAAATCTACCTCATGAGAAAGATTGTGTGATTCTGTGGAAAGAATGATTAATTGACTAATTCTGTTGGACGATATAATGTCCATATATCGTACGATAAGTTGATAACGCAAAAAGGTTTGAGGTTATGTCCCAACACAGTCTCCCAGCAGTCCTTGAAATAGTCACAAAATCAAATCTATTGGTTTCGTGCTGAGCAACACGAATGGTCTCTGATTTCTTTCGTGTCGCACAGCTTTGCTTCTTTCTCGTGACGACATTATGCTACAGTTAGTTTAAGGCATCAAAACCACTTAATTCGGTTTAGGAAAGCCGTCAGGAACGCGTCACAATAACAATCGATGTTGAACACCGGACTGGTGGTTGTTTGTCCTTTCTTTTTTTGGACAATCAATAACGTGGGTTATGTCCATATACGTAGCGTTGATAGCGTTAACAAAACTGAAGTTATAAGTCGACAATTTAAAAAATGTCCCTATATCGTACAATATAGTGGTTACTGTGATAAAGTAGGCCTTGTGGCTGCTGATGAATTGTGGATCCTTGGAACCGCTATCTGCCCCGTCTCAAGGTCTGAGGCACAAAAGATATTGCGCTGATATTACAGCGCAAACACTCCAATAAAGTTTTGCAGCGGAGTGTGATTTGCTCTTTTTTTGCGGAGGGGGAGGGAAGAAATAATTAGTTTATATAATAACCTTATTTTTAATTCTTTTTTTTCCCTTTTTTCTCCTTGTCACTGCATCCCCAAAATGAATGAGTTACATCACCTTGACCCGGCTACAATCACTGCCGCGATGATCACTGGAAAGTCTGGGCATGACACCTTTTATAAATGCGCTTCACTTCCCACAGACTCTCTGAAAACACTAAAAATGTCACTGTCACTGTGAATTGGACTGTTATTACAATGAGGCTCGTTTGCAAAGAAAGTGGCCAATTTTGTGCAAAATGTCTGCATATTATCTCATTTAAATCGGTGCAGATAGCACAGCGGCACCAAGGCTCATCACCCTCTGTGGGTGCTTTGAGAATTACATGGTTTCTTTTTGTCTCGTCTGTGAAGGTTTAGCGTCGTATATTAGTTTATGCAAACACACAATACTCCTCTGGAGGTAAATCCTCAGGTTCTGTCTTGTTTTTGGCTGAGCTTTACAAAGCGAGATGGTGCAGAAGTAAACCTGAAAATCTAAGAGAGATGTCTGAGAATGAGTGGGCGTTTCATAGC